AAAGAGAGTCTGGGGGAGACACCGGTCTGTGTGTGTGTGTGTGTGTGTGTGTGTGTGTGTGTGTGTGTGTGTGTGTGCGTGTGTGTACCTGCGTCCATTCTGCGGGTACTCCGAGGGAGACGCCAGGTCGTCGACGTCCTCCGCCTCCGTGTGACTGTTGTACTGACTGTTGTTCACGTTCTTCAGAACCAGCTTCTTGATGTTTTTCCTGTGGACGAATCAGACACCGCACCATCAGACGTGGACCAGTGGCCGCTCCACAGGTGGACGCAGCGATGGCTGATGGGTACCTGGGCACGAAGGCTCCGTTGATGAGCGACGGTTCGTCGTCGTCCAGACCGTCAAAGAGCTGGGTCTTAGAGGAGCCGGACGAGGACAGGGCCTTGGGCCGGACTCTGGTTGCGGGACGTGGTGTCAGTTTGTAGTGTGTGGGCGTGGTCAGAGCCTTCTGGGCCGAGGGATTGGTCGGTTTTAGTCGCTGTGAAGAGAAAAGAGACAAAGAAGAAGCGGCGGCAGCGGCGGCTGTGATTGGACCACACACAGAAGGAGCTGAAGGTGAATGAGCTCAGACCTCCCCAACACACACCTCCTCTCTCTTCTTGGGGTCCGACAGTGGGTTCCTGAAGAGCGGGGAGTCTCCGTAGGGCGAGTAGGCCAGAACACTGAGCTGCTGCTGCAGCAGAACCTGCTGAGCTGCTGCTGCGTTTGGATCTGCAAGAGCTGGAACCAGGACAACAGTTAGAACTAATGTCTGGAGCGGACACACACACACACACACACACACACAGAAGGTCCGACATCTCTACACCGCTGCCTGTGTTAAACCAGGCCCCTCCCCAGAATAACAACACGTTTCTCTCCAACACTAGGGGGCATCAGTTGGTACCAGAATCTAAAACTTGAAAACACAGACGGCTCACCAACGGGCTGGGCCGCGGCACCAAATCCTATGCTGCCGGTTCCGGTGTTGAATGCTGTTGCTCCAAAACTTCCCATAGTTCCGAGCGTTGTGCCCAGTTTGTTGTGATTGGCTCCAAACAGAGAAGCTCCTCCTGCTCCCACTGTTCAGAAGAAGTTAGCGTTAGCACAGCATTTGACAAGAACCATCGATCAGTACCTGCCGACTCAGGGACACGTGGTACCTCCTCCGAAGCTGGTACCGAGCCCGGCCCCCAGTCCTCCGGTGGCCGCCTTGTTTCCAAACAAACTCCCTCCAGCAGGGGTCGCTCCAAAACCTGCAGCAGGACAAACCAAAGATCAGCATCACCTGGTTCTAAAGCTGTGGTTCACAGCCCCGTGGCTCACGCACCAAAGGTGGAGGTGTTGGTGCCGGTCCCGAGCGTGAGTGCGGGTTTGGTGCCAAAGAGTCCGGTTCCTGTGCCAAATGACGGGGCGCTGGTGGTGGTGGTACCGAACGCCGTGGTCTTTCCAAATAAACTGGGCTGAGAGAGAGAACAGAACCACAGAGCTCAGTTTCCAGAAAACCCTCTCATTTCAACCCTTCCCTCGTTTCCGTACCTGCGGCCCAACAGTTCCGAACCCTGTGGCGCCTCCAAACAGACTGCTGTTGGTTCCAAAGCCGGTGGCCGTGCTGGTCGGCGTTCCGAACAAGCCTGGTTGAGGCGCCGCCGGGTTCCCGAACACGCCCTGAGGAGCGGCGAGGAGATGGTCAGACGGTGTTAGCCGTGGACCGGTCCAGAAGTTCTGAACCACTTACCATGGTACTGGTGTTGGTGTTGCCGAAAGAGAAGCTGGTGTTCGGGGCGGTGGTGGTCGCACCGAAGGATTTGAAGAAGTTGCCGGCGGGTTGGACGTTGGGCGGTCCAAACAGGCTCCCTGTGGTGTTACTGAAACCACTGGTGGCTGCTACGGAGACACAGAGACTCAGGTTGGTCTACAGACAATAGAAGACTGGACGGTGGGGCAGTACCACCACTGAAACTAAACTCAAGTTCCCCTGCGCACCACTAGAGGGAGTCTACAGACCACCTGTGGTAGGAGAGCAGAGAGGATTCTAGAAAGTTCAGTTTTTGACAAGAGGAACAGATGTAGCTCAGTAAAGTGGCCACAGGGGGCAGTGGAGCAGCAGCTCCGGCTCACTGACTCCGTGGACTACTAACTCGCTCCAAAGGTGCTCTTGCTTGGTCCGAAGGTGAAGCTGGTGTTGGGCGCTGTGGGGCCAAAGAGTCCAGTGGTGGCGCTGGACGTGGCTGTGGACGGTCCAAACAGACTACCTGTCCCTGCGGGCATCTGGGTGGGGCCCTTCCGTCCAGCCTGGTAGTCCTCCAGCCTCAGCTCCTGGAAACGGACAAAAAAAAGGAAGCAAACGGAGATCAACCTCAGGTTTCTGAACCCTGGTCCTGCGGTGATGACATCATCAGAGTCCAGCTCACCTCCAGAGACTTGTTCTCATACTCCTTCATGGCAGTGATGCACTGGTGCTTGGTGTTGATGCTGGTGGTCACACCAGCTTTCACCATGGTGTCATTTCCTGTTGGAGGCTGAACAAACATTCACTGTAAACATCGAGGCAGACGGATTCACACCGAGGCAGACGGATTCACACCGAGGCAGACGGATTCACACTGACACAGACGGATTCACACTGAGGCAGACGGATTCACACTGACACAGACGGATTCACACTGAGGCAGACGGATTCACAC